TGAAATTTTGAAAATATATTTTCCACATGTTTATTCACAGGTGATGAAGAATGTTCTTCCAGCATGTATTTTAATATTGTATTTTATTTTACAGTGTGCAACAATAGTAAGTCAAACATATTGCTTGAAAAATGCTTAAGGCCTAAACATTACAAAATATACAGGTGAAAGTTTGCTAGTTTTAGCCAAGTAACTTAATGACAACACTCTTAAATCATAAGAAATACGGACAATAGATAATCAAGTCTATTTTTTCACAAACCTGCAAGTGTATCATACATGTGGAACACTGCACTCATCATACTAGTTAAAAGGAAACCCAGCCTCAGTTTATGCTGAGTAAGATTCCTCACTTGCCACCACAACACTCACACAGTAAGAGCTGTAACTCAATCTAAGCAAGGCTGTATTTCAGTTTAAAAAAATAAATTAAAAACTCACAATATACTGCAGATTACTTTTGGTACCAAAGCAAATTGAGATTCTCAGTCAGCATTAAAACACTATTTTTTTCCAAATAAATACTAAATAGAATATACAATCACTGTCAAATAAAAGTGCTCAGGTCAAGCATTTGTTTGTAGGTGTACAAGTACATACATAAAGCATACACACAGACAAAATATGAAGAACACAAGCAATGTATTGCATTAACAGCTCTCTTCTTAAAGACAGATTTATATAACAGCATAAAACTTGGAAGTTATCTTTACTACTATTAAAAACTCCCCGGTATCTCTAGATGCCTGCCTTCAATAAATCCTGGAAACATTCTGCTCACAGAGTAAATTTTAAAGACTGTGCAGCATATGTAAGCTTCAATAAAATCAGTACAGATCTTTAATTACTCCATTTACCCAGCAGCTGCTTTAACAAAGTATTTTTCTGAACACGTAAAAATGTAAAATACCCCAAAAAACCAGTCACCTATGTGCAATGACCACTCAGCACCTAACAATAATGGATATACTGAAGGACAAAATGTGAGTTGTGCCAAGCCCATAATTCTCAGTGACAGATTGTAAAGCACTTTGAGTCAGCATTAAGCTTTTAAAACTCGAACCCTAATCAATCGTAAACAGAGAAGGATCTCGTCACAACATGGGTTGCAGTTGGGACAGCCACGATACACAAAGTAGCACCACCACACAATTTCAGAAGGCTTTGAGCACTCCCCTAAACAGAGTAATACCTTGGCACATAGAGGGCTTCAGGCATCTGCCCATGCAGAGTAACACCATGCCACTTCAGAAGGCTGCAAGCACCTGCCCTTCTTGTTCTTTAGCCCAACCTTTTACACCCTCACATTCATGCAGTGCCCCTGTGTGCCCTCTGCTCCCTTTGGGATTGCTCAGTGCCCCTGGGCACTCCATGGCTTGTTGCTGTCAGTGCTGCTCACCTGCTGCTCACAGCTTCACCCACTGGGGATGAGGCTTGGCCATAGCCCCATCCCAATCACCACAATGTGTACCTACAAGATCTCACAGTTATTTTTAAAATTTTAAACACTAGCATATAACTTAATTTTTCTGCTTTTTCTGATTTGCATAGCATTCTTCCCAAGTAAAATGCAGACTTCTTCATGAAAACAGGCTTGTATATACAAGCTGAAAAATAACAACACCTATTTAAACACGAGCTAATTATACCTGGCATTTTGGACTTTGGGGGTAATGTATTGATTGCCATAGAGCAGAAAGCACCCCTGTTGGCCACAACCAAAGGTGCACAAGATTCAGAAATCTACACAGAGACAACCTCTCCCCTTCTCCAAATACTTGTGCCCACAGGTCTTTTGATGGTACAGGACAGCAAACACTGTCTCCCCAGGCTGTAGGGCACTTGGAAAAGTATGACTTGCACACATTTGGTGACAGCATAGCAACAAAAAGCCCATTAAACAGAAAAAAGACAGATAACTCAATACAATCAACTTGCAATAATTTTCTTGTAATGTGTTAGTGAATGGGTGCCAGCTAACTAATCTTAGTAGAGAACAAACCTAATTTATCCACAGCAGGATGTTGTCAGATTATGTTCAACCTAATAATTATTTCTAGCAGAAAGGCAACATTACACTTTGTAGAAGTAGACACTCTGTAGAAGACATTTGCTCTGAAAAAAGATGTTCATGTTCTGTTTGATTAATGTGGGTGGGGTGAGGATGGATCAACCAGAAAAACCCACCTCAGCCAATGAAACACCCTACAGGAGCAAGCAGCCAGGTGAACGAGGATCTTTGAAAAATGCATGGCACTGGGAGAGAGGAACATTCCCAACACCCCTCACAATCCTTTTTTGAAGAGAAGCTTAACTAACATTGAGTAACTTTTCAGTGGAAGCTGCAATTCTATGAAGATATTTGCTACACTGAGATTTCTCACTCCCTTCCAAGCCAGAAGGATGTCCCATGACCCAGTGTGACCTCAGGTGTTGCAAAAGCCACAGAAGCCTGTGAGGAATCCCTCTACTGCACCCAGACATTTGTATATACATATACCTCTATAAAAATATTTCATCCTCGTTCAAAAGATAGAAAATCTAATATTCCCTTATCCAATAATTTCTAATGATTCATTGGTCTTACTAAAAGTTTGCTCCTTAGTTTGTTATAAACTGATTTTTATCTCTGTGTATTGTCAACACATATTGCTGTAAAAATGTTGTGTTATGTCTGGAGTATGCAAACAGTCATATAAATTCAAGTGTTCCATTACAGATGTAAAGATTATGGTCAGGAATGCACCTTTTATTCAATCAAATTAGAACTGAAATTAAAGAAGTTAGAAAGTAACCATATAGTACCAGTTAAGAAGGTAAACTATGTTTTGTCCAACATATTTGTGGAGAACTTATACAGAAATCATGTGTTTATAACAATAAACACACCATTATGATTGGGATTCCTGATAGATTCAGACCAAATTCAGCAATCATCGAAGAGTCAGGAAGTCTACTTGAAACCAAGCTATTATTTGGAATATTTATAAGAAGAATATCTGCCTTCCCTTAAGTTTTATTTTGTTGTCTTTTTAGCACTATATAAACAGTATGGCAGTTTAACTATAGTATTTGATGGTTTTAAGTGCTTGGATGTAAAATGTTACTCATCAGCTTAACATCCATGACAGTGCTCTATGTAAGATGTTATTTTGCAGTACTGGTTTACATGTGCATTACCACTTAGGCAGGCAAACAGATTCCTAGGCTATCACAAGCATTTCATTAAACATTTCCATCTCAGTACTACAATAATCCATTTTAAGATATAAAGAGTCATATGAATTATGGGCTGTCTCAGAGAGCTGTGGAACTCATTTGCACTTAGTTCATGGTCAGGGGAGACATGTGAGAGTCATTTGGGGGAGGCACATCACTCCTGACCCCAGCACTGAGAACTCAGCCATGCCTCAACCCTGGGCTGCTGGAACAGGGCACAGCTCTCACACCTGGAGCCACACCTGCCCCTTCCTCACACACCTGACACTTTATTTTCCTCCCCTCCATATGTACAGTATGGCCACTGCATACTCCTCATCCTTTGCCTCAAGGACAAACAAAAGACAATGGATGACACACAACCTGAGCTGGAGGTTCAGTCCTTTCTGTGACTGTGCTCTTTTCACCTGGCAGTGCCCTGAGAGGAGATGCAAACAGTGCTGCTGCTCTCAGGTTTCTGATAGTTCTCTTGTTCTTTGTATGCCCAAGCTGGCTCTAGGAAGGCACCTACACGCCACAGCCTTTGCATAGGAAGGGTCAGTGTGGAAGGAGCTGTTCAGTGCACTGCTTTTACTCACTATGTCTTTGAGAACTAAAGATTATCCATACCATTCTAATTTCGGTGCAGGGAATAGCAAGAGCTTGGATGCCTCACCAGACTCCAGCATCTACAAATTCAACACTGTAGAGAAGAAACAGCAGCCACTCCTGCTGGAGGCGTTTTCCCTTCTCCACTCAAGGCAGCACATGTCAAAAGCAGTTCTCCTGAGGCATGTGTTGGCTGAGGCAGCCCCTTTGATGAGTGAAGTAAAAAGTGTGTTCTGGAGATAATGGAAACGCTTGTACCATTCCCACACCTTGACCAGATACATTTTCCTGAAATAGGTGTCTGGCATGTACACACACACACCAGTTCTCTCCCCTCACACTGGCACACCCAAGGAGTAAGTCAAAGAGCACAGGTTTATTTTGCATTATCCAGGGTGTCCCTGGAATGTGATATTATGCATGACAGATCTACACAGCTTTCTAACATGTCCAGTTTTTACCACATCTAAGGGATGTAACTGCACCTGCTGAAAAGGCGACACACCACGGCCAGTCCTCAGCAACACTCCTGTCAACACACCACCCTTCCCAGACATGACGTCTGCACAGCTGTCTGTGGATGCCCTGTCCTTTCATCAAAGTGACCCAGGGCACTGGATAACTAATATTTGATAACAGCATTAACTTTGGCTGAAGTCAGTCTGTGTGTGCTCAGGGAAACTGCTCAGTTTGCTTCCCTAGCAGGGAGAGAATGAGCCAGGAGCGTGCATGAAGCCTCCTTCTTTAACCAGCACAGCTGCTGACAAAGGAGCCTGTATCTCTCGCCTTCTCTGAAGTTAATCCCAGCAGTTTAAAGCAGACTTGTGAAAGAAGCATGAATCTGAAGTTACTCTGAAATGCTATTCCAAGGACACATTAGTTCCACTAGAGTCAAAGTACACGCCAGACGCAATAGGTCGAGTTCTAGTCCATGAGATTGCACAGAAAGTAGGAGCTAATAATTCTTAATTTGGCATAACATGACATTCCCAGCAGCTTCTCTCTCTCCTTCCAGTAATTGTATCTTGGCAGTGTACATATTAAAAAATCATTGCACAAAAGACATGTGCTGTTGGAAAAAAACCCCCAAAAACCAAAACACCTTCCTTTGTGTTGTGTCATTCCAAAAACTGAAGACACTTTCACTGAAAGGGAAAATATGCTGATCAAAACACAAAGGGAACAAAACCTCATTCATTCCTTATTTGTTTAAGAATTACTAAAAACATTTTTGCAGGAGGCTGGGGCAACAGTAATTTAGACATTAATAAACTGAGTATTGTAACAATAACTATTCCATTGAATAAAAGAATTCTGGCAAGAAACTTTTCACATGGCATTCAACAGATATTAAAATAAATGAATGAAGTATGCAAGTTAAATTACTTCAAAAATAAAGACTTTCCAGCAGTTTACCATAATGACAACATTCAATAGAAAGATACAATAGCTCTTTGTAGCCTAAAAATTGTCAGTTTTATTTTACAAAGACGACTTCCAAAAGCATCTTGTCATGACAATTGAGTTTTGAGAAAAAAACAACCTGTCATTTGATAAAATAGAAGAAATTAACTGTCATTAAAGCCACTTAAGCACTCCTCCTTCCTGCTATCCTTCTCATCTTGGCAGTAACTGATAAGATTTCAGGGAGGATCAGTCATTGATGGCAGGATCTAGAAAAGAAACAATTTTTCACACAGTTATTCTCATTCACAGGTTCCAGTTATTGTATTTCACTAACCTGCACTTAATTGGCTTCCTTCTGCCCCTGGCATGGGCACAGTGGACCATGTACTTCATACAAATCACTGTTCCCTGTTACACCTTACACCATGAAAATATCCAGGTGGCTGCAATCCTATGGTGCTAATATTACCCACAAAGGTAACAGTAAGAAAGTCCTGGTAACAGAGCCCTGTCATCCACCAACTGTGCCTTGTTAATACCACCCAGTGCTTTAGCCAATAAGGACCAGACATTACTCATTATCATGGAGTTCATTACTTATGGGACATGGTTGAACTTGAGCCTGTAACTTCTGGAAAATGTACCACTCATCCACAGGAACATACCAACAAAATAAATGAAGGACCAGATGCAATGGTTACATCAGAATTAGTGAAGAGGTAAACTATAACTGTTTATTTCCTTCCCCTGTTCTCCCTAAAAAAACATTACCCAAGATTTTTTTCTGACTAAGCAAGCAGCTTCAAGAGGAAAGGAGGACATGGATCGGGCAAAGAAAAAGCTCTGAGCCTTGCATATCCAGACTAAATCATGTGCAACCCCAGGAGGTTGTGTGCATGGCAACCCCACTTCCAACATACAGAGTAATTAATTGTATTCCCACATTAAAGCTACCATGGCACACCTCCACCTTGGCAGATTTCTAGCTGGCTTTAATCCTTTCCACCTTGCACATGCCAGGCTCCTCACACCAACTGGCCCTCGCTGACAGCTGAGTTTTCAATGCCATACAGTACCTTGATGCAAATGGGTTTTGCCCTTTTTTCCACCTTTTGCTAGGCTACACTGCCACTTAGTCACTGCACTGACATAACAACTCCACCTTCTCTGCTGCAGTGCAGCTGAACATCCACTGACGTGACAACGGGAAGTGAGGGCTTCATCCCTACAGGAACAGAGCTGCCTTTCAGTTTGCAACTTGCAGCATTTTCATGCCGAGGACAGAGCATATGGTCCTTCGAAGGGACATCAAAATAAATATGACAGGTCAGTGCAATCATCATACTGAATGAATTCAAATGATGCCATATCTAAAATGAAATGTGTGCACATAATAAAGATTCAAATGACAAAAAAATTCCCCTACCCTTTATCCCTCTCTGAATTATTTATGAATTCTGCAACTCCAGCTGTTGCCACCAGCCCAAGGACACTACTTCATTTTGGGAATGACACTTCATATTAAAAGATAAGTTAACAAAAGAAAACAAAAAAGAAAAAAAGGACACTGCAGGCCTTTAAAGGCCATAGAAAAGCACATCTTTTCCCAGCCCTTACAAAGGAAAACAATCAACAATCAATTTTGTTCATATTTCTCAACTTATTTCCATAATTCCAGACACAGATTTCAACACTCACGCATTAAGTCAGCCATGTCTTTTTAACCATTGCAGTTAAGCAAGACTCTCACAGCATCTTGGATCCCTCACATATTTTTATAGGGTTACCTCAGTCTTACTGTTCACCATAAACCACACACCAAAGATTGCATTTCTGCAGATACTATCTGCATTTCTGACAGCTTTTAGTACTTAAAATTATCATTCCAAAAGAATAGAAAATTTGCATATATGGAATTGCTTTTGGGAAAGCAGTAATTTGTCCACAAATTTAAACAAAAAGAAACAACACCTCCAAGTGTACTTTAGGGCACAAAGAATTGGTTTCAAGTAATCACGGCATTTAGATGAGCAAATTCTTCATAGTGCTGTCTGCCCACTTTTAAACTGCTCTGATTTGGATTCCATAGCATCTTAGTTCTTAGATTCCAAATAAGTAATTTGGCAGTGGGAAGGAGGCAACATGGAGAAGGCTTAGCCAGTAAGCACAGACAGTTTCCATCACCTACATCAACACGCTCTCCTCTCTCGCTTTAAACTAATCTTGTTTTATTGGCTGGTCTGTAAGAGCAGGTAAGTAACAAAGAGGCTGAGTAAACAGGGAAAAAAATATAAACCCACCATTGGTTTTGGTTGCTACTTAATTTGTAATGGAATCAAGATCTGAATTGTTACACAAAACCACCCACTACAAGAACATACTGATGCACTGTTTTCACTGTGAAATTAGCTGAAATGGGTCAAAATTTGCAAGTTGCTGAGTGCTAAGGGACATACAGCCCCTTCATGACTGACCAATAGCCTCATCTCTGCCACAAGTGATATTATTCTGTTCTCTACTCATGATCTTAATTTCACAGTGTTTTCTACTTTTACCTAATTGAACAGCAATTGGGCTTACATTCTGTTCCTGGGAGATCCCAAATGCCACAAGAACTTTTAAACAATTAATTATTTAGGATTTTTTTTTGTCTGAGGTTTTTATTTTCTCCTCCATAATCCACCTGAAAGTGGACTAACAACTGTCACAGTTCTAACACAGAAAGAGGTATGAATAAACTGCAGAGCTTCCAAGGCACCATCATCAGACATCTCCAGTATCACCCACAAATTAAAACAGAAAGCCAAAAAAGCACCATTTGTCTTTAGTGCCAAGCACATGGTTCAGGCCTGATCTGGAATGCCAGATATTCAATAAACAAACTCATCTTTGGGAAAGGCAGCAAAGCCAGAGCTGTTGCCTGTCTTACAAGTGAAAAATGCCAATGGCTTGCAAGCAGAGATCTGCTGTTACTCAGTTTGGTACCATGAGCTCACGCAGTGTTATTCAGGAAAAGGAGATGTTGTTAAAACAAACATTTATTTGCCCTTCAGTCTACACCAGAGCTGGCACCCAGCCCTGAACAGTCTCCCTCTTCCTCACTACTGTGGGAAAGCTACCAAACAAGAATCCTCCCATTCCATCTCCTGCTGCTGGCCAAAGAAACAAAGATACAGAAACAAAGAACAGGCAGAGAACCTGAGGTGTGCAAAATGTCACTGAGCAGGAAGTTAAGGTTTAACACTGTAACATTTGTAGATCTCTTGTAACATTTACAAGAGCCCCAAATTCTCCTGGTCACAGCCATGTATTTCAGTTTATTAATAATTCTCCATTATTTTGGAAATCCCAGGTGCTGTGCACAAACCCTCTCAAAACTATAATTATTTAGTTGTAACCCACTCAAACGTACATCACACCTTTTTTTCTGAAAACTAGCAAATTAAAACAGGAACATATCTCACATTCCAGGGTTGCCATTTAAGTCTCAATGCCACAGGTTCTCAAGTGCCTCCTGAAATAGTTTCTAGCTGTGCTAAAGGAATGACATTTGGAAAAAAATCACCTGTGTGCTGTTAGGAAAACATCCTTCTGAAGATTTCCACAAGTTAGTTGGATGCAATTGAAGTTAGTCCTCAGAAAATATGAAAAGTCGTCTTCATGCCCAAACAGGCTCACTAAATGCTTCTGGCTATGACATTATTTCATAATTGACACATTACACACAAACACCCCAAGAAAATATCTTTTTGTCTGTGTCTGGATTACACGGCTATTTATACCCAGTGCTTCTGCAGAGCCTTCCCAATGTTGCACGATGCTCTTGAATACAAATGACCAATTGATCCTTTCACATGATAGGGTGGGGAATTTTTAGTGTTCAATACTTCTAATGTCTAAAAAAAATTGTATCTCAACATGGTCTTTAATCTAATCCTTACCCTGAACAATTGAGTACATTCGTATTAATCTATTAGATGCTGTTCCATACCACACCTATGGCACTGCATAAATTACTGTAATTTAAATGAATTACTGCTTGAGAATTCTCATGTGGTAAGAAACATGCAGTGTTATATGTTATGGAAAGAAAAATGTGCATTATGGTAACTAAGTTTTATACTACAGTATATCTAGGTGCTCATAAACCAGCCATTCTAAACTGTTGAAGGACAAGAATATTAGACTGATCGCATAGAACACACATCAGTATGTCAAAAAGTCAATAATATGAACTTAAATCTACAGTTTATTTAGATATATTCCCATGCCCATATTTAGAATCCACATTAAGAATGCCATTAGGCTACCTGAAGAACATTACTGCAAAAGATATTTACACCTATAGTAATTCTATCTCTGCCTTGGATAACTTGCATTTTGCTCATTATGCATTTGATCTACTGAAACATATTGAAGAAAAAAGAACTTGGAGGAAAAAAAAGAAAAAATAAACAGAAAAAAACCCTGAAGTTCTTTTGTTACATTACTCCACATATTACCAATGTTTAAGGATGACTTGTTTAAGATTGCACATTTCAACTACCTAACAGTAAAGAATGAAAAGCTTCTTGCTACAAGCTAAAAAGAAAGTCTTTACCATGCTCCTTGAAGAGCTCATTTTCACATTACTCAGGCTTCATTATGCTGAATCAATATTCGTTTAGTCACTGGGTTATTGACATATTTTAAAATAAAAGTATACCCTTCAGCTACTGCACTCATTACGGGTAATTTGTCTTGTCAGGGAGCAGGGAATATTATCCCAGTCTTTCAGGGGCTGACAGCCCATGGAAATACCTCCCCTTGGTTACAACTGTAAATAATTTTAAGGTAAAATATTGAAAAATCAATGACTGTTTCCTGCAATCTGTCACAAACAAATCAATCATAATCTGCACAGCCAGAGAGTATGATTTGAAAGAGATGAGAGCAGATGTAATTCTTGGCTGGAATCTCTCATTTCAAAATCACCTCACATAATGGTGTCATCATTTAAACACTTAGCAGCCACTGCAACTGCCACTCATAACATCTAGTCAGACAAAACCACAAGGAAGAGGAGGAGAAATGCTACTGCTGTTATGTAAACAAACACTTTATTTCAATGGTGGCAACATTAGCAAATTTCACAGATATAACAAGGCTTGCCCCTCCACAAACGTCCAAGGTTTTGGCTTTTCCCTCTCAGTGGAAGATTGCCTATAAATTAGCCTCTCAAAATGCAAAGCATTTTAATTTTAACACCAAACTATGCTTCATATAAGGTGAGAAATAATATCTGGTACTAATACTACTTCTAAAAATATTTTATTCACTCCAAATTGCTCATAACAGAATTATGCATCAAATTCTTAAGAGATTAAGAAAGGAGAATTATCTGAGGTACCTTTGTCTTTTTAAGAGCAATAAGGATTTCAATGCTTCTTTGTCCTCTACATATTACATTTCACATCTAATTTTCATTAAGCACACACTGACTCAACTTTAGGGTAGGAACCACTGCAAAGTACATGGGAAAGAAAGTCATAACCTACATAAATTAATTGCTAATATATTTTCAACTTGCATTCAAAGATTAAATGTTGTATATTGAATTACATCTGTATAAAAGATCAATTTATACATAAAGAATTAACTACTGCACTCAGAATGCTATAAACTGACCTTTGTAAATGTGAATAAATTGTGTAAAACTAATCTATTTTTACAGGGTAACACTAATGCTTAGACCAAAATTATTTCCTCATTTGTCCCCCCACCTCACTATGTTTTCACCCCAATACTACAGTGTTTAAAAGAATTCTCTGCAAATAAAACAGGATAAAACTGTCATGCAACTGCAACCACAGGCCTAAGCCTGCATTTTTTGCACAAACAAAATTTACAAATGCTCATGGAGTGTTTCCCTCTGGAGTCTATAATTTGAGCTCTTAATCTTTAATGTGCAGAGCCCGTTATCACATACTCATTTTAATCACATTAACCTTAGCAACTCCTAATTCTGAATATTTATCTTACAACTGTGAGACTAAGAAAAAAAATGCAACCAAAAGATGAAATTATTTTCTCTTTTCTTGAAAAAAATCCCTTAATACCGTTTTTAAAAATGAAAGAATAGGGCATATTGTACATCTAAGTAAACCTCTCCAAGGTTTGCCTTCCTTTAAAGCAGGCTTTAAGTCTCTTTATCTTCTACTTGGAAAACATACATCTCTAACTCTTTATTGATATACATCAAGCCCACTATTGTTTGTAGCAGCTGGACAGATTCCCTTTCTCAGCAAAATAAATTATTAAAAAAAAAAAAAAAGAAAAGAAACTGAAGTCTTAGACCAGAAGCAGCAGTTAGTGCCTTAGAGGCTAACTAAGTGCAAATATCAGCCATGAAGAAAATCAGCTTATTGTGGGGAAAGGAAACCGAAAGGAGGTGGGAGGAGGCAGTGGGTGAGGAATTGCTAAAAACCAGAGTAGCTCCTAGAAATGAGTTGCACTTCCCCACTTTTTCCCTGGATGAGATCTATAATGAAGCTATCCAATAGACAGCCTCAGGCTCCTCAGCCCCTTTCCATCTCCTCCCTGGCCCAGGGAACAGAGAGGGGAGCCTGGCTCACCCTGCTAAGCCATTGTGTGAGCGAAGCACGGCGCGCACAGAACGTGCGGCAGCTTCCCCAGTGCCATTCCCCTGAGCCAGCTTCTCATTTCTTCTGACAATCACCTAATTAGGTGGGTCAAGAATTGCAGAAGATAGAAGAGATTCATTCTTCCTTACATGCCAGTTCTCCTATTTGTAAAAAGGAAGGCAATGGCTCTTCCACTCCATTGTAAGGCACTTAATAAATGTTAATAATAATTAAGTCAGTCACATCTCTCAGACAACACTGTCAGATCTTTTTTTTGCAGTTATTTCAGAACTATTTGGCTCATGAGGGAGCTCCCACAAGCTCCAGACAGAAAAGGACTCACAAATTCCATCCTTCAATGCAAGAGGTCACAGAGGGCTGTGCCACAGCAGACATTTCACAAGCCCTGAGGAGCAAGGGCAGCACATGCTGCTGCACTGCAGAAGTTAATAGGTCAGCACCATGAGTGCAATTTCCTGCTGGACAAAGCATTAAGATGCTCTAACAGCTGGTAGGACTGTGAAGTCTTTCTGGTTAAGAAGTTGAACTAGATTCAATTTCTTGAATGAGAAGATGTTGGGTTTTTTTTTCCATCTTTATCAAGAAACAAAAGCACTACTGGTTATGGAAAGAGCTGAAAAAAGAAAGATGCTTTAAAAAAGCTACTAGCATTTCTTCTAGTACCCACCTTCTCCATTTACTGCTCTCACTCATAATGTTCATTTAAGTCACTGGCATATGTTCATTTATTTAATGCAGCTCCACATGATCACTAAACAATACAGCAATGCCATATTACATCATGCAACATTACTGATAGGACACTATTAGCAATACTCTACCTAATGAAGTTTATAACGTCTTCATGCTTGGGCATTACAGAAAGATGAAGAATCCTGCTTTGAAACAGCTCCTGCCTTCCAGCTCTGTCCTTCCCTTCTTCAGCATTTCTGAGACCATCTCACTGAGCTCATCTGGAGAGGACAAAAATAGAAAGAAAGCAACATACTTATTACATGCACTGTGCAATTTTCTCAACAGAAATGGGAATAAGGTTGATGTATCTGAAAACATTAATTCTGCATTTTGTAAGTGTCTGAACCCAACACCACAAAGGAAAGTGCCCCTGCTCTAATGCTTTGCTTAATGAATCATATCATACTCACAGCAGATTACTTACCATTAACTCTGAACAGGACTTAATATGGTTAAAAATACTGCAAGCCCAGCGCTGCATTCTGCCTTGTACTAGGTCTCTTCCCATATTCAGGCAGGTACAGGATAGGATGTACTGCTGGGTTCATTTTCCCCACTGTGCATCTCACTGTTTCTCTCCTGGGTGCAATCTAGAAAAAAAAAAAAAAAAAAAAAAAAAAAAAAAAAAAAAAAAAAAAAAAAAAAAAAAAAAAAAAAAAAAAAAAAAAAAAAAAAGGGACACACGGAGAATGGGGGATGGAACAAAAATACAGTATTTGTCACTAATTCAGACAGCATGTTTCTCTGATATACAAGGATTACAGACTGAACAATGCAAGGGCTTCTTCACCCATTGAACCAGTATGTTTGTTAAATCCCACAGAAACTGTGTTAGTGCCACATCCCACTGGGCAGTGTTCAATCCTTCATGTTCCAAGAGGTGCACCACAAACAGGTGCCAATGGAAATCAAAGATCTGAAGAACAGGGCAGTTTAATGGCATTTTGCTAATGAAACAGTAACAGCATTAATCACTTGCTCAAAAGCACAACAGTCTAACAATTATATGAGCATGGAAACCAATTTACATCTGAACATTTCTGAGACAAGCAGAGTTCTTGTTAGGTAAACCGAGGCGAAGGCTACATGAACAAATCCAGGTCATAGGATGTGCCAGAAATGCAAGGAGAAAACAAACCCGGGTCTAGCCCCTTGTCTGCTATTAAGTTTTCCCAACCCTTCTCAGCCAGTCTAAAAGTCTCTCCACCCTTCTGCAGCCTCCTCTCAAAGAACTACATGGATGAACTCAGCTTCAGTTTAACTTGGGGACACAGTAGCACAGTGTATATTACAGGGAATATCAGCTGAACTTTAACTGAAGCAATAAATTAAATACTGAAATAAACTTAAAAAAGCATAAAGAAAAAATAATACTTTAAAAATTACTTTTGAAACTTAGGCTCTACAGAGCTGTCCTCTTCTCAAGAGATATTCATGAAACCTAATGCCCACAGGAGCTGGGAGACAGAAAGGTCCTTCCTAGATAAAAGCCAGAAAGTCTGAGCAAACAAAGCAATTCCTGCACTGCCAATATAATAAAGAAGTCGTAGGCACCTTTTTATAATGACAGAGTATTCTTAATAAAAGCTTCCAGCAGGTTTTACAGCTGCATATTATCCAATGAAACCAGTAATAAACAGCACTGTAGAATTATTTAGTGCAACTCCAATACACCGAGAGTCTCAACCTGGGTTTTATTTATCACACAGGCTAAAATGTTTGTTCTTGGCTTCACAGTAGCAGCCAAGCCTGTAGCTATCTTTTATCCCAGCACACTGCCATCTGGATATTGATACTTTGCTAAGGGATATGAAAGAAAAGCATAGTTACCTAATACAGCTTAATTGAAAACACAGGACCTACATATTATACCATACATTATTTTACACAAAATTAAATCTGAAGGGCATGAAAATTTCTGTAGATGTCAGCAGAGAATACTTCAGAGGTAAATTATGTGTTCTTCATCTGCACTAGAAATGCTAAAAAATAATGTGAAAAGTATGTGGTTACAGGAAGAAAAAGCTTGTTTTTGCTCTGTTGGGAAAAAAGAAATTGCTCAGAAAGGTGCATCTCCTTCAGGAAGAGCAGGAGAGTAATCAGTCACATGTTTATTAGTACAGTAAACTCTGTTATGATGATCCATATTCACCTTTAAAGGTCCAACTGGTTTGTTTTTCTCCTCAGGCAATGATTTAATAATAAAAAAAAAGAACAAAAAAAAATGCTGCTTCTACAAATACATTCACTTTAATCTGTAAAAAACAGCTTCAAGAATCATTTACATCTGCACTACCCATATTAAGGAGTACAGGCTAAAAAGCCCTAAGGTTAATAAAACCCTAGAAATTATGAACTGTTAAAAAGAATTCCTTGGGTGTAAGGCCAGAAAGGCTACCCGGCTTATGTTTCTCCTCAGAGAGGTACTGCTGAGCTCTTGCAAACACTAGTCATAAGGACTGCAAATATATGTAAGTAAAGTAGATAAAGCACAAAATCTTTGGAACACAACACTGCTATTAAGACACTCATCTCTAACACCCACACTGAAGGCCAGATTCCAGCTACAGAAGCTCTCACCACGCTGCAGCACCTGCAGCCAAAAGGGATTTTGCCACCATGAGGGAAGCTATGGGCTCATGTACATCCCATAAAACAGCCAACCTTCCCACTGAGCTGCTCCTCATTTGCTGCAAGAGCCAACTAACAGTAGATGTGTCTTGCTTTAAGTGAAAAACCTGTTTTAGACATGAAAGAAAGCAGTTTTTCATTTTTCGCTCAGAGTCTACTTTCTGCATATGTCCACGGAACTGTAAGTAAAATAAATCCTAAAGACATTATTAACTTAGTCCATACTATGCCAACAAATTCAAGCAAATAATGCCATTTAAGTTAATTACAGGAACTTCAAGGAAACTGAAATACAGTTTCAGCTTCTCCCACGACACTGTCAAGATCTTTGGATTTGCATGCTCAGTACAATAACTAGGTGCTTGAAAGACTTGTCAGTTGCACTTCTGTATTTTATTCCACACACTAAAAAGGCAGCTGAAGCAATTTTTTATAGGAAAAAAAAAAAAAAGCCTGAAACTGATAATCACGCTTCTTTCAGCAGACAAGAAGTGACTTAAAACAGAAAGGATTGGAGAGAAAAAGAAAACTCTAAGCTGCCTAATACCCAAATGCTAGGCACAGAAGAGTAATTCTAGGTGTTCACGAGTTTACACCTTGCTCTCAGACCACAAACACAGAGAGTGTGAACAAGGAGCATCTTGGGCAAAGGAAATACAAGAAGAAGAAACAACACAGCAGCCGAGGGTGTCTTGCTCAGAGAGTTCCCCCTTTACCCAGGCTAAGAGCCATGAAACACTGGCACTTCCACTGCACTGCCTGACCTGGAACTCCAGCATTGTACCTGAGGGAAGCAGCAGCGGTGTCTGCAGGAAAGGGCCCCTAAGTTTTACAGCAAGTATTTTACATGCATTTTTTTAGCTCCTGCATAGTTAATAATGTATTGATTTAACATAGACATAGGCCCCTCCCTCCTCTTTGCATGCTAATTAGTTTTACTTCTATGGTTGTGCAAACATGAGAAAGAAAATTTTCTCTTCATGCCTAATTACAAAAATGAACATTCACGTGTATTTATTTTTCTCTTATGAGTTGTTAATACTTTAATATATACTGTGTGAAACATCTCTTATCAGATGTTTCCAGCAGCAATTTCCACTACCACCCGAGTCTCACAGGTTTCTTTTTTTTAATAGAACAGTTTTAAATGAAACAGGGTATCTTGTAGGGGAATTACTTTTTTTTTTAAGAGGATTCCCTTTAGCATCACATACAGATCTCTTGGTAATATTGTCCCAAATTGAACTGAAGAAACAAATTCAGTGTCTAAGGTCAGCTATTCTGATAAAGAAATATCAAAAAGGTTTTGAGAAAACAGCCTCCTTCTCATCTACCCCTGTAAAAAGAAAAAAAAAGTTGAAATTATCTCCTAATGCATCTCCCTTCATAATTCATGCCGAAAGATGACATTTTCTCAGGATCTTAATTAAGATAATGATGAACACCTGTGTCGGCATTCTTTGGCAAGACAGCATTATCCATCATAATCTTTTAAGTACTCTCGAAAAAACCCAACAAAATTGTATGACGGAACCAATCTGTTGCCTCTTCTTGCACTAAGTTTTACATCTCAGGCACACAGAAGAACGATTAGATCTTTAAAGACTGCAATAAAAACAGGATCGTTAGATTTTAAAGTTTCAACAAAAAGTAGCTATTAAATTAATTAAGGTGCATCATATCCAAGATAGCCAAGTTTAACTCCATTCACTATAAGCCACCTGGAATCAAACCACTTACAGTTAGAGCCTACCAATAGCTGTACTTTTAAACTATAGTTTGCTGTTACTTTCAGGATCATTCTGCCTATTTCTATTTGTTTCTCCCACAAAGAAAACATTCTCAGCTGATCCCTACTGCACATTCATACACTGATTTATTAAGCCATTTTATGCTGTACCCTGTTTGCACAATCTAAATGAAATCATGCAAAGGAAATCAGTGTAGAAAAAACAAATATGCAAATTCAAATGTTGCTATATTTTGGGTCACGTCTTGTGCAGTTATCTTAAATCCAAGTTCCTCTCATACCAAAAAACCTACTGGAGTCCAGCTACTAAACTAGCCAAAGACCCTTTTGGGGTCCTTTGCAGGACCAACGGATCAGACTGAAGGCTATAAAAACAGGGATTTTAATTATTTATTTGCATAAGCTGAATCTAAATTCACATGCCTAAATTTAAATAATGTGAACATTTCACAGCCAGCCTGCAAATCTTTCCCACTGTTAAATAAGATTTTAAGGGCAAGTGTTTTTTCTATTGCATTAACAATTTATCTCCCAAAAATTATGAGAAAAATATACCAAGTCCAGAATTTTAATATCAACCTGCACTGTTATAGTTTCATTGGCAGCTGCAAAATACACAAACTCCTAATATCAAGAACTCGTCCATACCTTCAAATGCACGTACCTTCAGCAAAAATGCAGAGAAGCAGCAAATGTATCCTCAAGCCCCACATTTGTTAACAGCACTGATGAATGACACAAGAGCCTTGAAACAAACTTCTTATTTCCCTTCCATCAAGTGGTTGAAAAGCAGATTAGTCTTAGGCTTTCACATTTTAATATGCTGCTATCAGAGGAAAAAGTTGCTGTGACTAGTCATTCAGTAAAGCTATCAATGTGCAAATAAAGCAGAAAATAGAGACATCCTTAAGAAATGAGTCTCAAATTTGATATAAAGTGAAGGTGACAACCACAGCAATAGAACTATAAACTAAATGTTTCAATATCTTGAATAATTATCTACAGTTCTTTTAAAATTGCAAAGAATATAATAGTGGCATAATGTAGTGAGAATGTTAGCTTGATAGGCACTTACAATCCTGACGGCATAAGAGTCCTATCACTACCGTTTATTAATCAGCTCTGGTATTATGTTTGCAAGGCATGAAAGTATGCATGAACTCACCACAGTTTCCAAAATGTATGCCTACAGAAGAAAGATTAGTGGAACATCAGAAATAAAGAGGGTAATTTTACATGACGTTAACCTTACCTCCTCTTCAAAAAAGTCAGATGCCATGGGAAGATGGCTAAAACTTCTGCTTCTTCCTACAAAGAAAGGAGCACAGAAAAGCAGTTAGTTATTCTACTCACATAGAAAATGAATGTTAAATGTATAAAACTTGACCAGATGATATCTCACTCCCCGAACAAGGGGGATTGTCAGAGGATTATGACAGAAGAGCTTTCGAGTGGAGAAAGAAATGCAGTGCTCCAGAGCGATCGCTATAATGAAGCCGGGGACAAATACCGGTGACACCGTGCAGTCGAAAACTGATGAAAGTGCACACCTGTGTGGATTGAGCATGTAAGGGAGCGTGCGAGCCGGGGATGGACGCGTCCCGTTTACCGGGGCAGAACCACATGGAGTTTAAAGAGACGAAATTCCGTACACTGCACATTAAAAAAAAAAAAAAATTTAAAAAAAAATTAAAAAAACAAAACGGGGGGCGAGGGAAACGTAAGAGGATAGAGGAGGGAACGGCCAGACCGAGCACAGCGGCGAGGAGGAGCCGATCCCGCTGCGGCCCCGCCAGTCCCGCCGGGCGCCCCGGGACCGGCGCGGGCCGGGGCCGAACCGCGCCGCCCGTCAGGGGGCGCCCCGCGCCGGGGCAGCGCCCACACCGAGCGCCCGAGCGGCTCCGCGGGGCTGCTGCCGCACCTCGGGCCGGGCCGGGCCGGGCCGGGCCGGGCCGGGCTCAGCGCGGCCGGGCCGCTCCGGGCCGGGCCGGGCAGAGCTCAGCGCGGCCGGGCCGCTCCGGGCCGGGCCGGGCCGGGCTCAGCGCGGCCGGGCCGCTCCGGGCCGGGCTCAGCGCGGCCGGGCCGCTCCGGGCCGGGGGCGGCAGCCGCGGCCCGCAGCGCCTCCGCGCGCCGTCCTGTCAGCGCCGCCTCCGGACTCCGCCGCAACCGCGCCCGTGCTGCCACCGCCCCTCCACACCCCGCGCTGAGGGACAGCTCCGCGGGCCCGTGGAAGGAGCGGAGCGCCCGCCGCCGGCGGGGAACAGCCAGTCATGCGCCGGGCCGGCCGGGGGCGGGCCTGGCGGGGCCGCGGCCTGATGGGTACTGTAGTGCAGGGCAGGGGACGGGGGTGACCCTGCTGCACGGCCGGGAGCGCCCGCCCCCCGCCTCGGCCCTGCCGCGCCCCCCGAAGAGAGCGGGGACAGCGCGCCCGCCCCGCCCGGCCGGCCCTGCAGCGCGGCCGCTCGGCGAGCCCAGCCTGCGCCGGCCGGGGCTGCGGATGCTGCCGCCGGGACCGAGCCCGGAGAGAGACGGAGGGAGGGACGGAGAAAGCGGGGCGGTGCCGGTGTCGCCTCCACGGCGACACGGGGAGCTCCTGCCCCGGCCTGCCCGTTTTAAAACACACCCCTGCTCCTCGCGTCTCCGCGTACGTCCCGCGGGGGAGCGCGGCGAGAGCATCGGGGTCGGGAAATGCAAAAGTTACAAAATAAAATAAATTCTGAAAATATAAATTGCCCCCCTCCCTCTACCAAGAAAGGTACGGCGGATCCCGATGGCCGGGAATCCGCGGCCGCTGGAACAGCTCCTTTCCTCAACCGCAAGGGAAAAAAAAAAAAATGCGAGAAGGGAATAAATCGGGATATGTTTCTATTGGGAAATATATCTGGTGGAATCACAGGAGATTACATCTTCTGATCGGCAGGGATTTATCCCGGTTCATATGGTTTTAATCTGCTTTCGCCTCGACCCTTCAATGAGCCGAGGGCGGGGGGAGTATACCCGGTGTGTTCCTTAGATCCGCGGGCAAGCCCCGGCTCTGAGCGGTGTCTGCGGACCCATCTCAGCCCCCTCCGCTCCCCTCGGACCGCCCGTCTCCTGCGGCCGGCGCTTGGAAAGACTAAATCCGAGCCCTCCGCGAAGCTGATCCCCGCTCCTGGCCGGACCCCGCCGCCGCTCCGCCCGCACAGCCGCCGCAACAGGTCCAGTGGCGGGGTGGCCCCTGCCCGCGGGAGTGACCGGCCAAGCAGCCCAGGGACAGGGCTGCAGCTCTTCCCCGACGAAAACCTCCTTTTTTGTTAAGAAAATCAAAACTAAGCACCACCAGTCCGCCGTATATCCCACCTCCAGTGATTTAGCGGAGGGAGGGGCAGGGGCAGAGAGCACGAGGAGGAGTGGCTGTGAAGAGGGGGAGCCGGGCCGCTAATAAATCTTATTAAAGATCTATTTTTTTTCATATACTGATTGGCTTGCATTCCGGCGCAACGCGGCTCCGCACGGTATTTAGCACATGCAGAAAGTTGGAGCTGATCTTAAATGGCTCGGAGGTGACTGCAATCCAGGAGCCGGCGCACTTGAGCCTCTGAGCGCTGGGGAGGGCCAGGGAAGCGCGGAGCCCTCCCGCTGGTTGGGCCCGGCCGCGGCAGCCCAGCGGGGTCCTGCCAGTCCTTCCACTGACAACACCCCGCGAAGGAGGAGCCTCGCCGGGCCGTGCTGAAGGCGTCAGGAGCTGCAATTTCCAACTTAGCATCTTGGCAGGACCCTTCGGAAAGCGAGAGCGAGGAGGAAGGGAAAAAAAAAGCCCCCCAGTGCAAGGGGGAGAGAGAGAGAAAGAGAGGAGGGGGGGAGGGAAAGAGGGGAAAGCAAGGGGGGGAGAAAAAGGAGGAAGCGGTGCCCCGCTGCAGGCGAAAGCGGAGCAGCAGCCCCGGCGCAGAGCAAGGTGCCGCCTCTGCCCAGCTGGCGAGGGCGGAGAGGCGCCCGCGAAGCCCCGGCCGCAGCCGCCCCAGCCCGGCAGCGCGGCGGCTCCCTCCCGGCGCCTTGGGCTCCCGGGTATATGTGCGCGCCTGGCCATGTCGTATCCTCAGGGTTACTTGTACCAGCCGTCAGCGTCCTTGGCTCTCTATTCCTGCCCGGCGTACAGCACCAGCGTGATCTCCGGACCCAGGACCGATGAACTTGGGAGATCTTCTTCGGGCTCCGCTTTTTCCCCTTATGCCGGATCTACCGCCTTTACCGCCCCTTCCCCGGGTTACAACTCCCACCTCCAGTACGGCACCGACCCGGCCGCCGCTGCCGCCGCCGCCTTCACTTCCTACGTGGTAAGAGCAGCCGCGGGCAGCCGACACCGCGCCGGGCACGACGGCATCCCGTGGGCGCCTGTCCCCCCCTCACGGGCCTGCTTTTTGTTCCCATTTTATTTTTGAGATCTCGGGGACAAAAGGGAGCGCGGCTCCCCGCCTCGCCGCCCAACTTTCCCGCATCGCCGCCGTGCCCTGCCTCACACTGTTGCTGGCGGCAGCGGCGGGCAGGGCCGGGTGCGGGGGGAGCCGCCGGCACGGCCCGGGTGAGCAGGACCAGGGCAGGCGGGGACCGGTTTCATTCCCTTAGAAAAAAAAAATAAAAGGAAAAAAAAACACCAATCATAGTTCTGCAACAATTAGGTTGTTGTGATTGAAAAGGGAACGAACTCAGAACGGGTCGGCGATGGGAGAAATCCGGGTGATAAATCCAGGCAACTTTCCCCTGCACGGCGATAATTGGGCTTAAATATTGCAGAGCTCTAATCCCATGGCCGCGAGCTGCTCCGCGGGGCTGCGCGGGGAAGGGAAGGGAAAGGGAAGGGGAAGGTAGGGCACTGCGCCGCCGTGCGCGCCCGCGGGGCACCGCGGGGCCAGTCCGAGTGCGGGACATCCACACCGCAGAGCTGCGGCCACAGCCAACGCCCCTCAGCTACCCCCAAAAACCGGCGACTTTGGCTCAGCTTCTCCTCTATGTTTAGGGCAGAGTTTTACAGTTCCTTCTTTCTTTTTTCTGTATCCTTTTATTTTCCTTTGCCTTTTTATTTTTGCCCTTCTCACCCCCTTTTTATTTTTTTTTGTTTGTTTGTTTGTTTGTTTCTCTTTTATCTTCTTCTCTCTTTTCTTCTTCCTTTTATTTTTTCCTCCTCCCGTCCCTGGGCAAGGAGGAGCGGCCCAGCCAGCCCGGCCGCCTGGGCCCGGCAGGTTGTCTGCCGTGATCGCAGCGCGGGGGAAAGGCTCCGGTTCCCCTGCCGCTGTCCGCCCCCACGCCGCGCTGCCCACTTGCTTTTCCGCGCCTGCATTTGGGGGAGAACTGCTGGATTGCTGCAGGCAGCCGGTGTTCTCCGACTACGGGCCCCGGAGAGCCCCCAGGGCCCTTCCTCCCGGGAAAGAGCCCGGAGACAAGCCGGGCAGGGCCCGGCACCGGGGGAGAGGCGGCGGGGCGCGGGGCAGGGGCTGCGGGCAGGCCCTGGTGTTGCCTTTGCCCTGTCATTGCCGCCCCGCGGCCGCTGACCTCGCCCCGCCGGGCCGCTCTCCCCTCTCTCCCCAGGGCTCGCCCTACGACCACACGCCGGGCATGGCTGGTTCCCTGGGGTACCACCCGTACGCGGCGCCGCTCGGCTCCTACCCCTACGGGGACCCCGCGTACCGCAAGAACGCGACGCGGGACGCCACAGCCACCCTCAAGGCCTGGCTCAACGAGCACCGGAAAAACCCCTACCCCACCAAGGGCGAGAAGATCATGCTGGCCATCATCACCAAAATGACCCTCACCCAGGTCTCCACCTGGTTCGCCAACGCGCGGCGGCGGCTCAAGAAGGAGAACAAAATGACCTGGACCCCAAGAAACCGCAGCGAGGACGAGGAGGAAGAGGAGAACATCGACCTGGAGAAAAACGACGAGGACGAGCCCCAGAAACTGGAGGAGAAGGGGGACCCCGGAACTCCGGACACAGGTAGGACAGCGGGCTCGGCCGGGTCACGGCGGCCGCGCCCTCGGGGCTGCCCCGGGCCGGTGCGGTGCGGCGGTGGCGGGGCGGCCTGTTCCCCCGAGCATGCAGCCGGGGCGGGGGGAGCCGGCGGGCAGCGGAGCGGGCCTGGCCACGGCGGGGACCGAAGGGTGGGCGGCGAAGTGGGTGGGCGGGTTTGGGGGCGCAGGGCGAGACCGAGAGCTGCCCCCCCACCCCTGTCCTTTCTCCCCCTACCAGGAGCGGCGGATCCCAAGGCAGCGCCGGGCTGCGAGCGCCTCCAGGAGTCCCCCGGCCCCCGGGAGGCCGAGAGCGGCCTCAGCGACTCGGATTGCAAAGAGCTGGCGGAGGAGCGGCTCGACGGGCCGCCCGTCCCCCACAAGGCGCCCGGCGCTTCCCCGCTGGGACCGTGTCCGGCGGGCCGCGGGCCGCCGCCGGCGGGCGGCGAGGAGCCCCCGCCGTACCGCCCGCCCTCCGCCGCCGCCGGGCCGCCGCACGCCGCCGACCTGCACCCGCTGCTGCCCGCCGCCACCGGCGCCTCTGTCATCCACTCGCCGCAGCAGGCGGCCCTCGCCAAGCCCAAGCTCTGGTCGCTGGCCGAGATCGCCACCTCGGCGGACAAGGCTAAGGAGGCCGGCGGCGAGGCGGCACCCCCCGGCCCCGCCGTGCTGGGCGGCAG